CCCCATGACTCATAACATGGAAAATAAGAATACTCGTCCAGGTGTTCGCGCTAATCAAAGGCATCTCGGTGATATCTATTACATGCACGCGCCGCGGATCGCCTCGCGCCGCGGACCTCCCCGCGTCGAGGGATCGCGTAGCGTCGCGGTCCTCCCCCTCCCCGCGCCCCTGCGGATCGCCGCAGAATATCTCCTTCCCCGCGCTCCGCGGATCGCCAAGCGTCGTGGAATAATAAGCGTGGAACATCGTTCACCTTGATAAGAAAATCATCAGCCAGGTTTCGGCGCTTGACCCCATGACTCATACCCGTCCAGGTGTCAAAAATGACAGGTCAGCATCTAGATCGCGGTCTCCTCGCCGCGGAGTACCCCCTCCCCGCGACCCCCTCGCCGCGGAGTACCCCCCTCCCCGCTGTCCCCTCACCGCGGGGTACCCCCCCGCCCCGCTCCCCCCTCGGAGCTCCCGAGTTAGAACCGGCCCCTATATCCTACTGTGGTAGGAGCTGAAAAATCCCGCGACCTACAACGTACAAGTGGCGGCGGCAGCAGCAGCAGCAGTAGCAGCAGCAGCAGCAGCAAAAGAAGATGGGAAGATGTAAGTTTTCATCAACTTTAAAACAATAGTTTGCTTATATCTTGTTAATACTCTATATTATTTTCTTTTTTAGCCAAAAATTGTGGCGACACGCCTAGACGCGGGAGGAAGGCGGCGGTAACATCGTCGCTGCCGTTCGTGACGAACACGGCGACGACATCCCTAGCAGCGGGCACAAAAGTGGCCACGACGACGTCATCTCGAGCAGTGGGCCTGAAAGTGGCCACGACGACGTCGCCGTTCGTGACGAACACGGCGACGACATCCCTAGCAGCGGGCACAAAAGTGGCCACGACGACGTCGCCGTTAGTGGCGGTCACGGCGACGTCATCTCGAGCAGCGGGCCTGAAAGTGGCCACGACGACGTCGCCGTTAGTGGCGGTCACGGCGACGCCATCCCTAGCAGCGGGCCCGGGAGTAGCCACGACGACGTCGCCGTTAGTGGCGGTCACGGCGACGCCATCCCTAGCAGCGGGCCCGGGAGTAGCCACGACGACGTCGCCGTTAGTGGCGGTCACGGCTACGTCATCTCTAGCAGCGGACCCAAAAGTGGCCACGACGACGTCCCCGTTAGTGGCAGAGTCGAAAATAAAAAAGGTTAGTATGTATACAACTAGATTTGGTATAATAGTTAATCTTGGTTCCGTAATATATAAATAAATAAACAATATAAATAAACATATATAAAATACATTAAAATTTTTTTCAGCGTATCAATAACGCAGTGCGGCGGGCAGTAGGGAAGGAGAAGCGCAAGCAGTGGTACGTCGCCGGTATGAATTTAGGTGGCAACATACCGGCGACGTATCATGCACCGCATAAAGGGCAGCGGAAATACGTGCCCGCGCCTCCTGCACTCGCAACAGGATACGTGCCCGCACCTGCAACAGGATACATGCTCGCGCCTCCTGCACCCGCAACAGGATATGTGCTCGCACCTCCCGCACCCGCAACAGGATACGTGCTCGCGCCTCCCGCACCTGCAACAGGATACGTGCCCGTGCCTCCCGCACCCGCAACAGGATACGTGCCCGTGCCTCCCGCACCCGCAACAGGATACATGCCCGCACTTCCTGGTCTTGCAACAGGATACATGCCCGCGCCTCCCGCACCCGCAACAGGATACGTGCCCGCGCCTCCCGCACCCGCAACAGGATACATGCTCGCACCTGCAACAGGATACATGCCCGCGCCTCCCGCGCCCATAACAGGATACGTGCTCGCGCCTCCCGCACCCGCAACAGGATACGTGCCGCGAAATTAAAATATTATATACAAATATATACATAAACAAATAAATATTGTTTATTATAAATATTGTCATATATTTATATGTATTCTCTCTCT